ATAACATGGCGTTGAACGAGGGCACCATTACGAAAATATTCAAATGGCACGGGAGAAAGTATATAATAAGAGCCGGTGTGTAGACTATTATAGAGGGTTAATAACAAGAGAGAGAGACCCAGTGAGTGAATTAGTACACGGGAACAAATAGATAACACGAGACATTCTGGTCAATATCTCTTGAAATCTATCGGAGAGAATGATAGTAGTGTAATAGACTGCAAACGTCGAGTTGGTATGGGGACAGTTGAGGTGGAGACGCTCCTCCGCCCCCTGGAGCACTCCCGCCAAGTGAGCAGCAGCAGGGCGGCTCACTAACCCACATTACCTATACAAAAATTGCCCGCGAATTTTTATGGGATATGGAGAATATTGGACGCTGTCTTGTTGCTGGTCTAGATTTTGCACCTGCTGCTGCTGGTGGTGCTGCTGTTGCTGCTGCTGGTGGTGCTGCTGCTACTGCTGGTGGTACTGTTGCTGCTGCTGCTGGTGGTGCTGCTGTTGCTGCTGCTGGTGGTGCTGCTGCTGCTGCTGGTGGTACTGTTGCTGCTGCTGCTGGTGGTGCTGCTGTTGCTGCTGCTGGTGGTGCTGCTGCTGCTGCTGGTGGTGCTGCTGTTGCTGCTGCTGGTGGTGCTGCCGCTGTTCCTGCTGCTCCCGATGCTGCTTATGCTGCTACTACTGCTGCTCCTACTGCTGCTGTTACTGCTGCTGCTCCTACTGCTGCTCCTACTGCTACTGCTCCTACTGCTGCTCCTACTACTGCTGCTATTACTACTATTGCTATTAATCATCACAGGTGGTAGTATTATTCCGTGAGTGTAAAACAAGTGGGGTGCGTGTGACGCCACAATTACCTCCCGGGGTCCTAACACAGTACACGATAACCATGACTTAACAATCTCTCTTACTGGCTTCTGCACTTTGTTCTATCACTGGAGGCAAAGTGTATTGGGTTGAAACCGTTATTATTCAAATATTTGTCCACCCGTTTCTAACAGAAATATTTACATTAGAACTTAGAACTCTTTGAAGGAATTTCTTACAGATGCTTTTAGTTCTTGGTGAACGAAACCTTTCCCGTTTTGTGTTATATTTTCGTTCAAGTTTTATGTCGTTTTATATCACTGTTGAAATATTTTCTCCTCCACTAGACCTTTGTGTCTTTATCAAATTTCTTGAAGATATTCAAGGTTAATGTTTGATAATATCAAGTTGTTAGTGATGGTCCATTACACATCACAATCGTACTTGATAATGGTCCAAGACGGACCGAAACGTCGTAGTCTCGTTATCTTCTGGTGAGTGGTTCGGTCGTCATATCTTCAGCCTCGTTATTGTGATCCTTCGTTTGCATAGCACAATAATGTTTCCGGTCACAGACCTTTCTTAATGTGTGATGGGTGTGTGTGTCCTCAACACCTGTGTGTGGGTCCTCAACACCTGTGTGTGGGTCCTCAACACCTGTGTGTGGGTCCTCAACACCTGTGTGTGGGTCCTCAACACCTGTGTGTGGGTCCTCAACACCTGTGTGATGGGTGTGTGTGGGTCCTCAACACCTGTGTGTGGGTCCTCAACACCTGTGTGTGGGTCCTCAACACCTGTGTGTGGGTCCTCAACACCTGTGTGTGGGTCCTCAACACCTGTGTGATGGGTGTGTGTGGGTCCTCAACACCTGTGTGATGGGTGTGTGTGGGTCCTCAACACCTGTGTGATGGGTGTGTGTGGGTCCTCAACACCTGTGTGATGGGTGTGTGTGGGTCCTCAACACCTGTGTGATGGGTGTGTGTGGGTCCTCAACACCTGTGTGATGGGTGTCTGTGGGTCCTCAATACCTGTGTGATGGGTGTGTGTGGGTCCTCAACACCTGTGTGATGGGTGTGTGTGTGTCCTCAACACCTGTGTGATGGGTGTGTGTGGGTCCTCAACACCTGTGTGATGGGTGTGTGTGGTCCTCAACACCTGTGTGATGGGTGTGTGTGGGTCCTCAACACCTGTGTGATGGGTGTCTCTGGTCCTCAACACCTGTGTGATGGGTGTGTGTGGGTCCTCAACACCTGTGTGATGGGTGTGTGTGGGTCCTCAACACCTGTGATGGGTGTCTCTGGTCCTCAACACCTGTGTGATGGGTGTGTGTGGGTCCTCAACACCTGTGTGATGGGTGTCTCTGGTCCTCAACACCTGTGTGATGGGTGTGTGTGGGTCCTCAACACCTGTGTGATGGGTGTCTGTGGGTCCTCAACACCTGTGTGATGGGTGTCTCTGGTCCTCAACACCTGTGTGATGGGTGTCTCTGGTCCTCAACACCTGTGTGATGGGTGTCTGTGGGTCCTCAACACCTGTGTGATGGGTGTCTCTGGTCCTCAACACCTGTGTGATGGGTGTGTGTGGGTCCTCAACACCTGTGTGATGGGTGTGTGTGGGTCCTCAACACCTGTGTGATGGGTGTCTGTGGGTCCTCAACACCTGTGTGATGGGTGTCTGTGGGTCCTCAACACCTGTGTGATGGGTGTGTGTGGGTCCTCAACACCTGTGTGATGGGTGTCTGTGGGTCCTCAACACCTGTGTGATGGGTGTCTCTGGTCCTCAACACCTGTGTGATGGGTGTCTGTGGGTCCTCAACACCTGTGTGATGGGTGTCTCTGGTCCTCAACACCTGTGTGATGGGTGTCTGTGGGTCCTCAACACCTGTGTGATGGGTGTCTGTGGGTCCTCAACACCTGTGTGATGGGTGTCTCTGGTCCTCAACACCTGTGTGATGGGTGTCTGTGGGTCCTCAACACCTGTGTGATGGGTGTGTGTGGGTCCTCAACACCTGTGTGATGGGTGTGTGTGGTCCTCAACACCTGTGTGATGGGTGTGTGTGGGTCCTCAACACCTGTGTGATGGGTGTGTGTGGTCCTCAACACCTGTGTGATGGGTGTGTGTGGGTCCTCAACACCTGTGTGATGGGTGTGTGTGGTCCTCAACACCTGTGTGATGGGTATGTGTGGGTCCTCAACACCTGTGTGATGGGTGTGTGTGGTCCTCAACACCTGTGTGATGGGTGTGTGTGGGTCCTCAACACCTGTGTGATGGGTGTGTGTGGTCCTCAACACCTGTGTGATGGGTGTGTGTGGGTCCTCAACACCTGTGTGATGGGTGTCTCTGGTCCTCAACACCTGTGTGATGGGTGTGTGTGGGTCCTCAACACCTGTGTGATGGGTGTGTGTGGGTCCTCAACACCTGTGTGATGGGTGTCTCTGGTCCTCAACACCTGTGTGATGGGTGTGTGTGGGTCCTCAACACCTGTGTGATGGGTGTCTCTGGTCCTCAACACCTGTGTGATGGGTGTGTGTGGGTCCTCAACACCTGTGTGATGGGTGTCTGTGGGTCCTCAACACCTGTGTGATGGGTGTCTCTGGTCCTCAACACCTGTGTGATGGGTGTCTCTGGTCCTCAACACCTGTGTGATGGGTGTCTGTGGGTCCTCAACACCTGTGTGATGGGTGTCTCTGGTCCTCAACACCTGTGTGATGGGTGTGTGTGGGTCCTCAACACCTGTGTGATGGGTGTCTGTGGGTCCTCAACACCTGTGTGATGGGTGTCTGTGGGTCCTCAACACCTGTGTGATGGGTGTCTGTGGGTCCTCAACACCTGTGTGATGGGTGTGTGTGGGTCCTCAACACCTGTGTGATGGGTGTCTGTGGGTCCTCAACACCTGTGTGATGGGTGTCTCTGGTCCTCAACACCTGTGTGATGGGTGTCTGTGGGTCCTCAACACCTGTGTGATGGGTGTCTCTGGTCCTCAACACCTGTGTGATGGGTGTCTGTGGGTCCTCAACACCTGTGTGATGGGTGTCTGTGGGTCCTCAACACCTGTGTGATGGGTGTCTCTGGTCCTCAACACCTGTGTGATGGGTGTCTGTGGGTCCTCAACACCTGTGTGATGGGTGTCTCTGGTCCTCAACACCTGTGTGATGGGTGTCTGTGGGTCCTCAACACCTGTGTGATGGGTGTGTGTGGGTCCTCAACACCTGTGTGATGGGTGTCTCTGGTCCTCAACACCTGTGTGATGGGTGTGTGTGGGTCCTCAACACCTGTGTGATGCGTGTGTGTAGGTCCTCAACACCTGTGTGATGGGTGTCTGTGGGTCCTCAACACCTGTGTGATGGGTGTCTCTAGATCCTCAACACCTGTGTGATGGGCGTCTGTGGGTCCTCAACACCTGTGTGATGGGTGTCTGTGGGTCCTCAACACCTGTGTGATGGGTGTCTGTGGGTCCTCAACACCTGTGTGATGGGTGTGTGTGGGTCCTCAACACCTGTGTGATGGGTGTGTTTAGTCCCTGGGTCCTCAACACCTGTACGAACCTCGCTACCGGAAATATCCTGCTGCTTGGAAATAAAACCCTTTCCTCTGAATATTACTGGTATACGAACAGTCAAAACGAAAGAGTTAACGAAGTCGACTTACTACTGATTGGTCCTGAATTCGATTTGAGGATATTTCGTTCCCCCCGATACATCTGTCCACTTAGATAGGTACCCGGGAGTTACGCAACTGTTGTGGGTCGCATCGTGAGGCATTATCCGTCGCTGGCCAAATGGAATGAGGTTCCCGACCAGAGGAAAACCAGAACTAAACGTTTCTCACATTCACAATCGACTTGAGAATGGTCCAGGACGGACCGAAACGTCGTCGTCCGTTCACCTTCTAGTGTGTGGTCTGGGGCCAGATTCACGAAAACACTTACGCAACTACTTACGAACGAGTACATCTTTCCTCAATCTTCGAAGGCTTTGGTTACATTTATTAAACAGTTTCCAAGCATAAAAACTGCCCATTCAACTGTTGTTATTGTTATAAACAGCCTCCTGGTGCTTCGGAGCTCATTAACTGTTTAATAATTGGAAACAAAGCCGCCAAAGATTGAGAAAAGATGGACAGGTTCGTAAGTGCTTGCGTAAGTGCTTTCGTGAATCTGGCCCCTGGTCAACATACTTCAGCCACGTTATCGTAACTCATCGCCTGCAACTAGGACTAAAGCTACAAGGCCATGCGGGTGTCGGGTACTCACCAGTGTGGATGTAGGTGTGCTTCTTCATGTCGGACTTTTGGTGGAAGCGCTTGCCGCAGTACTGGCAGGGGTAGGGGCGGGTGTCCGAGTGGATGAGTAGGTGGGTGGAGAGGGTGGAGGAGCGCTTGAAGCACTTGCCGCACTGCTTGCACTCGAACACCTTCTCTGCGTTGTGCACCGCTCTGTAGGGAGCAGGGGGGGAAGTCACACGTGTTGGCCAGTCTGGCTCCAGTAAATAAAACAAACAAAAGAAAACTATGTAGATGATGAGTCACAATAACGTGGCCGAAGTATGTTGACCAGACTACACACTAGAAGGTGAAGGGACGACGTTTCGGTCCGTCCTGGATCGTCCGATCTGTCCGTCCTGGATCACAATCGACTTGAGAATAGTCCAGGACGGACCGAAACGTCGTCGTCCCTTCACCTTCTAGTGTGTGGTCTGGTCAACAAAGAGAAACTATTTTGGTTTACCAAACACAATTGTTAAAGAAAACACACACAGGAAAAAACTATAAAAAAAACTGTGTGCATATATCGCAGGAGGCCTGGTCGACGACCGGGCCGCGGGGACACTAAGCCCCGGAAGCACCTCAAGGTAACCTCAAGGCATATTACCTGTGAATTTATTAGTCAACTCACAGCCACGTGAACAACCTTCTGACGCCAAGGAAAGGAGAAACTGACTACCTTAAAGGATACAACCTGCCCCCTGCGTCTAACACGTCGCATTTTTAACGGAATCTGTCGATCCTTTAAGAATACGACGTAATAGTAAAAATTACAGAACCCAAAATTGAGGTTCTATTTTTGTATCCGCCTCGATAGGTTGGGTGGGTTGCTAGGGTTTGTACGTTTCTTTTTAGACAAAACTGTTGCATATTTTACGGAGTGACAGATTATTAATGATAATATTGATATTAAAACACATTAAGATTCTTAAGTATAAGGTTTAGTAATTATATATGACCTGGATATTTTTACTAGCATATTTAGGCAAGAAGTTTAATATCGGGGAAATAAAAAAGGGCAAGCGTAGGGTGAACAAGAGACAGGAGTGGAGTGAACAAGAGACAGGAGTGGAGTGAACAAGAGACAGGAGTGGAGTGAACAAGAGACAGGAGTGGAGTGAACAAGAGACAGGAGTGGAGTGAACAAGAGACAGGAGTGGAGTGAACAAGAGACAGGCGTGGAGTGAACACGAGGGCAAGCGTGGGGTGAACAATAGACAGTCGTGAGGTGAACAAAGTCAATATTGTTTGCCAGTGGTTCAGTGTTCTTCCCTTGACCTCCACGGGGACAGGATGAAGGTCAAAGAACACCATAGAGACGGCCATGTGACCGGAATACACAAAACTTGAATTAAAACAATGTGTATAATCAGTGGCTATATATATATATATATATATATATATATATATATATATATATATATATATATATATATATATATATATATATATATATATATATATATACTAAACACTATTAATTTTCACCGTAATCTGATCCTTTGATATCTCTTCTAAATAAATTAATCTTATTCCTATCAATGTATGGAGATGATGCAGAAGGGATCAGAGAGTCAGAGCAACAGATGGATAGGGTAAGATACACCTGTAGCGCCAGGATAGGTAGAGGAAGGATAGGTAGAGCAAGGAGAGGATGTGATAGGGTGAGTGTGGGAGAGGGGAAGTGAGGGGTGGTGGGGGTGTGGTGGGGATCACCCGTTGTTGCATTTGGGAGGGGAACACGCATTGTAGCTCATATGAAAGGAAAAACACGGAACTGATGTGAGGGGAAACACACGTAACAGATGTGAGGAGAAACACACGTAACAGATGTGAGGGGAAACACACGTAACAGATGTGAGGAGAAACACGCGTAACAGATGAGAGGAGAAACACGCGTAACAGATGTGAGGAGAAACACACGTAACTGATGTGAGGGGAAACACACGTAACAGATGTGAGGAGAAACACGTAACAGATGTGAGGAGAAACACACGTAACAGATGTGAGGAGAAACACACGTAACAGATGTGAGGAGAAACACGTAACAGATGTGAGGAGAAACACACGTAACAGATGTGAGGAGAAACACACGTAACTGATGTGAGGAGAAACACATAAGAATCATTGGTCTGACCTGTGTTGCGTGAGACTGATCTCGTGTCCGAAGGTCTTGTTGCAGTACTCGCAGGCGAAGGGTCTCTTGCCGTTGTGGGAGCGTCTGGAGTGGACCTCGAGGCCGTGCGGCGTGCTGAACATCTTCTCGCACTTGATGCACGAGTACACGTCGCCCAGGGGCAGGGGCTTGACCAGGGAGCCGTCCAGGGGCAGGGACCCGTGGCCTGGCAGCGACCAGGGGAACAGGCTGTCCGATCCCGCCATGCTCCAGGGGAACGAGTAGCTCAGCGACGATGGATACGAGACAGCCAGGCTGTTGCGGTTGGCATCCAGGCTTGACGACGACGAGGCCTCCCCGTCCTTCTTGAAGAGGACTAGAGGCGGCGGGGGATAGAGGCCGAGGGGAAGGCTAGGGGGCCGCGGGAGGTCGAGAAGGGAATCGCGAGTGTGAAGGGGCAGAGAAGGGAGGAAGGGACGAGTGATGGGGAAACTAGGCGCCTCTCGAGGGGACAGAGGCGCTAAACTCCCGCCTTCACTGATCTTACTGGACACTAGAGGCTCACGTAAGCTTGACGTGGTGCCCTCGTCCGGGCCCTTAGAGGTGAGGTTGAGGGCCATGCTGAACTCGGGCATCTGTACTCTGGTGGTGACGGGCGACATCTTCCCGTACAGGCTGCTGGTAGAGACGGCGGGGCTCCCGTCTCGTCCCGGCGGCGGAGATAACACTCGAGATAAGGGAGACTTCTCTTCATCTCGTCTCTGTTCCGCCGGTGTGTCGTGCGGGTCGCTCAGAGGACCGTCGTCGACGCTGTCCACCACTTCGATGTGCTCTTCTTCCTCCTCCTCCTCCTCCTGCTCTTCCTTGGTCTTGTCCTGGTTGGTCCACGGGGACAAGCTGCGGCCCACCAAGGAGGAGATGGTGAAGGAGGACCTCTCGAAGGAACACCTCGAGGAGGAGACGGTGTCTGGCTTGGCTGGTCGGCTGGTGTAGCGGGGCTCGCTCTCCACCTCTGTAACATACAACACTTCTTTAGTATTATACTTATTACATCACGTATGTCACTACACAACCCGTCCTCTCAAAATAACGTCGCTTTTCGCTCGTGTGCGCGCTAGGGCCGGGAACTGACGTAATTTGAAATGAAATCGGCTCACGAAAGTGATGTACGGTCCCGTTTTCTGTTTGGCTCCTCCAGCTTTGTTAGGAGGGGACACTTTAAACTAACGTTTTTCATGACGTTTTGAAACTTTAGGAAAATTTCCTGCCCTCCTAACCTATTAGAGGAGTCTTAAATTACTGTTTTTGGGAAAAAAGTCCCAAATATATTTTAATTTTTTTTCATTTTCAAATTACGTCAGTTTTCGGGCATACGGGTAAACGGCTAAATTCAGATATAATTTGTAAGAGGACAGGTTGGTGTCTCTCACGTGTATCACTACAGGTATATCCCTTACAGTATATCCCGGCAGGTATGTCGAGCATATCTCATAACTTGTAAATGGCACAGGTACTGGGGCGTCTGTCCAACATGTTGAAAGCCATAATTAGACCACCTGGACCCACCCCCCTCACAGTAAGTTTACTTAGCACTAACCTCCACTCTCTCACGGTAAGTTTACCTTGCACTAACCTCCACCCTCTCAGTAAGTTTACCTTGCACTAACCTCCACCCTCTCACAGTAAGTTTACCTTACACTAACCTCCACTCTCTCACGGTAAGTTTTCCTTGCACTAACCTCCACCCTCTCAGTAAGTTTACTTTGCACCAACCTCCACCCTCTCACAGTAAGTTTACCTTCCACTAACCTTCACCCTCTCACAGTAAGTTTACCTTGCACTAACCTCCACCCTCTCAGTAAGTTTACCTTGCACTAACCTCCACCCTCTCACAGTAAGTTTACCTTGCACTAACCTCCACCCTCTCACAGTAAGTTTACCTTGCACTAACCTCCACCCTCTCACGGTAAGTTTACCTTGTATCCCCATAAACATTGACTGCAAGCTTCAGTACAACTGTCAGAAGGCCGGAGGGTCCCTGAAGTGACCATTGTTTGTGTCGCGTCAGGGAGTTCCTGGAGGCCAGGGCGGGTCTCATTTCTCAGATTAGGCGAAATTGTAATTAATTTTTGTCAATAAAGATATTAATAATAATAATGCTGCTGCGTTTCTGCAGGAGCCTTTGGTGGGGGTTTGTGAGAGAGAGTGAATGAGAGTGAGTGAGAGTGAGAGTGAGAGAGAGAGAGAGAGAGAGAGAGAGAGAGAGAGAGAGAGAGAGAGAGAGAGAGGGGGTGGGGGTGGCGGTGGCGGGGCGGACAAACACAAGATCATTCGCTAATGAGAAAACTCCACACAGTGGGTGGGGCATCTCAGGTCATGTTACTCTGTGATTGATGCCGCCACACTCCCCTTCCTCCCCACCTCCCTTCCCCCTCTCTCTCCCCCCACCTCCCTTCCCCTCTCTCTCCCCACCTCCCTCCCTCCCCTCTCTCTCCCCACCTTTCTCCTTTCTCCCTTCCCATGTTTTACCTCACATTTTTCTCATCACTTACCTGCCCTGCCTTTCTCCTCTCCCACCCACCTGCTGGCTGGTGCCCCAAAACCCATGATAGCCCCTCCTCAGGGGCTCGAACCTGGTACACCTTTTGAGATTTAGCCCCGGTACTCCACCCACTCTGCCACCAATAGGTTTACAGTGGACGGTGGAGAGACCTGCATGGTATCTATTAGTTACATCAATCACCCAAAAGCTTGTTCAGTAAGTTTACCTTGCACCAGTCTGCACCCCCGTCACAGTAAGTTTACCTTGCACCAACCTGCACCCCGGCACAGTAAGTTTACCTTGCACCAACCTCCACCCCGTCACAGTAAGTTTACCATGCACCAGCCTGCACCCCGTCACAGTAAGTTTACCATGCACCAACCTGCACCCCCGTCACAGTAAGTTTACCTTGCACCAACCTCCACCCCGTCACAGTAAGTTTACCATGCACCAACCTGCACCCCGTCACAGTAAGTTTACCATGCACCAGGATGCACCCCGTCACATAAAGTTGGACTAAAGCTCCTGGGCCCGCACAGCTTCTCACAGTATATAGAAGCTTCAACAGACCAACACCAACCTACTCTTTGGATCATCTACGAGGGAGAGGTTAATAAGGTGAAGGGTTGAGAAGGGAGAAAAAGAGAGGGGGAGTAGTGAGGGGGTAGAAAGGGCGGGTGAATGAAAGGGTGGAGTTATTAGAATAGGGGTAATTGGTGGTAGAGAAAAATAATAAAAGGAAGAGGAAAGGATTGAGAGGAAGAAGTGTAGACTAAAGAGGAGAGATTGAGAGCGATGGAAAGAGAGGGGAAAAGGGAGAAGAAAGAGTGAGGAATTAGGTTGTCCCGTAAGGAAAATATAGTGATAATGGTGAAGAAAAGATGGTGAAGAGAGAGAGAGAGAACAAGTGACAGGGAATTAGAGAACAACGGTAAGGAGTCATATGGAAGAGAGAGAGAGACAGTGAGAGACAGAGAGAGAGAGAGAGAGAGAGAGAGAGAGAGACAGACAGAGCGAGACAGAGAGAGATAGAGAGAGACAGAGAGAGAGAGAGAGAGAGAGAGAGAGAGAGACAGAGCGAGACAGAGAGAGAGAGAGAGAGAGAGAGAGAGAGAGAGAGAGAGAGAGAGAGAGAGAGGGGGGGGCGGGAAGGGATTTAATATCCGTGTAGCGACCATTACTTCCACTCGTAACGATGACATGCCGATTACTGTGTGGCGCCTCGTCCCGACCCCCGCCTCTGGCCACGGCTTAGGTCAAGACCTCGGGCGGGGGAAGATGGAAGGGAAGGGGGAAGCTGGAAAGAGGGGGAGAGAGAGGGGAGGCGAAGGCGGAATGGGAATGAGGAGGAGGGGGGGGAAATTGAATAGGGAAAGGAAATAGAGACAGAATAGGGTTGGGGAAAGAGATTTAAAGAAGGGTGAGAAGTTAAGGGAGGGGAAAGGGGTTAGGGAAAGGGAAAGGGGTTAGGGGAGGGGAATAGGTAAACGTTAATAGGGTAGGGGAAAAGTGAGGGAAAGAAATGATATAGGGGTGCAGAAACTGAGGGAAAAGTTAAATTAAAATTAAAGGGAAAGGAAAGGGAAGGGGGTGAGGGGAAGGGGGAGGGGAGGAGGTAAATGCAGGGGAGAAAGGCTTCTCGTTGTTAGGGAAGAGGCAGATGGGTAATATAGAGGAAATAATGGGAAGGAGGGTAAGGTGGGGGGGGGGGGAAATAGAGGGGAAATAAGGGAAGAAAGGGAAAGATGTGTAATACCAGGAAAGTATGGGAGGGGAAGATGGAGCCAGGAAGGAAAGGAAGGAGGAGGAGGAGGAGGAGGAGGAGGAGGAGGGGAAGGTCTTATATGTAGGTAATACAAGAGAAAGAAGTGGAGGAAGATAATAGGATAACTGAGGGGAAATTAATGCATGAGAGAGAATACAAAAATAACAAAAGGCAAAAAGTAGGATAACCGTCGCTTACACGTGAGTAGGGAAGAGGCAGGATAACATAGGCATAGAGGGGAAAGAGACGTAGTGCGAATAAAGGAGATGGAACTGAAAAAAAAGGGGAATAGATAATGAAAAGGGAATGGAAGATAATGATGTAGATGGAGAGAGGGGGCGGGGGGGGGGAAAGAGGTGAGGATGATGAAGTGGCAACCATAACAGAACGAGAGAGAGAGAGAGAGAGAGAGAGAGAGAGAGAGAGAGAGAGAGAGAGAGAGAGAGAGAGAGAGAGAGAGAGAGAGAGAGAGAGAGAGAGAGAGAGAGAGAGAGATGAATACGAGGAAGAAACACAGAAATACTCATCATGATAAAAATACTTGTGGTTCTAGATGACGCAAATGGGGGTATATTTACACCCCCCCTGACTCCCCCCCATTCCCCCCCCCCCCTCTTTCCACCCCCATTCTCTCCCCCCCTCTCTCCACCACCATACTTTCCCCTCACTTCCCTCCACCATTCTCTCCCCCTCACTCTACCACCATAATCTCCCATAATAAACTATAACCCCTATATGGTATACTTCATCCCTCGCACGTAAACAGAAGTATACCACTGGGCCAATACGGCTGTTGTAGGCCTACCTGGAGGTTACCTTCCTCTGAACCAGGGGCTGTTGTAGGCCTACCCTGGGTGGCCTATGTCGGGTATGAGTATTGTGAGTCACGGAGGAATGTGGTGAGTGAGGTTTTGTATATTTACACTGGCTCGACCATTTACTCGTCCACTGGCTTACTCACTCGTTCACTGGTTTACTCACTCGTCCACTGGTTTACTCACTCGTCCACTGGCTTACTCACTCGTCCACTGGCTTACTCACTCGTTCACTAATTGACGTATCGGAGGCGCATGCACATGATTTTACGAAACTTATATCAAGTGATTGTGTCTCTCAGTGTTAATATATGTACGCGCTGCTATGCACTAAATTATTTTATAGGAGTTCAATTATTGTTATTGTAAGGGGAGGGAGGGAGGGAGGGAGAGAGAGAGAGAGAGAGAGAGAGAGAGAGAGAGAGAGAGAGAGAGAGAGAGAGAGAGAGAGAGAGAGAGGCAGGCAGGCAGACAGTAACAGATTATGTTGTGTTGATGGGTATATAGGGTGTTGAAATATGTCCAGTACACAGGGCTTGTTGCTGTGCAGTTGAAAGCTACGCTTTCCCCTGTTTCAGCTTTGGTAGCGTTGCCAGAATTCCAACAAGCTTCCCAGCTAGAAACTAAGTTGCCAATCTCACAAGCCTTCCAATCAGCGAACAAGCAAGCCATCCACCCATCAGACAAGTGATCAGAGTAGCAAACTAGCAAGCCAGGCATTAAGCCAGTTCACAATTAATGTAACAAATCAGCTAGCTATAGAATTTGACAATCATAATTCATCCAATTAAATAGCAATGAAACTAAAGTCAGTCAATTAACCAGCCAGTCAGTCAAATAGCTTGTCAGCCAGCCAGGCATCCACTAAGTCAATTGGCTAGTCAGCCAGCCAGCCAGACACCCAGCCAGCCAGACACCCAGCCAGCCAGCCAGCCAGGCAGCCAGCCAGGCAGCCAGCCAGCCAGCCAGCCAACCAGCCAGCCAACCAGCCAGCCAGCCGGCCAGCCGGCCAGCTAACCAGACAGCCAGCCAACCAGCCAGCCATTTAGGCAGCCAGCCAGCCAGCAAGCCAGGCAGGCGGCCAGGCAGGCGGTAGCCACCAGAGCTGGAACATGGACTCGCACGAGCTCCCATCAAGATTTGAAATTCCCACCAGATTTATGCCTCCAATTTGTGCGTCCCAGCGCTCGTGAGCTGAGATTATGAGGCGGGTGGCGGCGGTGGGGGTGAGGGGCGGTGCTGGGGCGGGGGGAGGAGTGCCTGGGTGGTGGTGGTATGTGTTGGGGGTGATGCTGGGGTGGGGTTAAGTGGTGGAGGGGAGGCTGGTGGGTGTGTTGGGGGGTGATGCAGGGTGTGGGGTTAAGTGGTGGAGGGGAGGCTGGTGGGTGTGTTGGGGGTGATGCAGGGGGTAGGGTGAGGTAGGTGGTGATGGAGGCATTCTGATGCTGGGTGAGTATTGATGATAGGTGTGACGATAGTTTCTGATAAGTGTTTACCTAATTGTGTCGATGGGATGAGATTATTTCCTTTCGTGTGTAACTTTCATGTTTAGATTCTCGCTATGTCTTGATGCCCTATTTTCCCCCTCTACTGGCTGGCACGTCACTAAACACCTAGTTAATAAATCCACAAGGGCCGTGACGAGGATTCGAACCTACGTCCGAGATCATCCCAGACGCTGTCTTAATCGACTGAGCTACGACATGGTCAAAAAGAGATGAAACTAGAAGTTGTACCTAATTTACTTGGATCCTGCAGCCTCTCCGAGACACAAACCAGGATTTTACACAACTCCCCCCTGCACTCAAGCTATGTCAATATGCCGTTCTACCTCTTCGCCCTTACTTCATTACACACAAAAATCACAATAGCATGATACATCACGCTATTGTGATTTCTGTGTGAAACACCTAGTTCATTCCAGCATGTTTAGTGCTGTATTGTGTGTGTGTTGTTGTTGTTTAAAATTCGCTACCTGGAACAGAAAGTTCCAAGTAGCACGGAATATGGTGAGCCCGTACATGTATGTGTGTGTGTGTGTTCTCGAGTCCTTCCCTCAGAGTCCGCTAGTTACCGTTGGCATATGGCATACATTCCATTTATTTTCCTGCCACCCTTTCTCCATTTCCATTACATTTATTGTGTTTTATAAATGCGTCGAACTTTTCACGAATTTCTCGATTGCGTAAAATAATGGGACGTTTTAGGTCAGTTGATGGGATGGGTTTATCTGGCCACTAACTACTGTAGTTTGTCCAGCTCTCCTCCTGTAGCTCTCCACAGTCCTTATTGTTAAGCTATTTTTCTTAGCTTTGCGCCATCTATACATATTGACATATGCAAACTCACTTAGTCTTATAAGTCGTTCACATAGATAAGGGTGACCAGCGGACCCAGAACTGAGCCCTGTAGGACCTCACTTGCACTCTGACGTCGCCCTGACTTTCACTCTCTTTTTCCTTTCTGTCAGGTACTCCCATATCCA